CAAAATTTATAACCACGAGCAATAAGACAGATAAGTCAGTGTCCTTCTAACATAACAGTCCATAAATATCATCTTCATCGTCTACTTTAGTAGCACTAGAGCTCCTTGTAAAACAGTTCGTCCAGAGTAGTATTGCCACCTTACCTATTTCTGTCGTCAAGCAGTAATGTCAGCATTACTGTGTTCCGGTTTTGAAGGGTAAGGGTGCTGGTGAAATTACGGGCACATGGGATTTGTCACCTTATGTCTTAGGGTGACGGGCACAGCGGTAAAACCTCTCAGATCTTTGCAATTTAAAGCTCTGAGTGGCACTGTAACTACTATGGACAGGTGTGTAACTGCGTAATCTGTCCATGTTCGGTCATGGCAACCACTTCGACTACTAGTTGGGTTAGTGCTGAAGCGCTCGAATATGGTTAATGTAGCCAAATATTGGTACAGTTTACACAGGAAATAACAAATGTATTTTCACTTACATTGGACATTCCAGTCCCGAGCAGTACCATCCAGCCCCATCCTCCATCGGGTGGTACTAATTTCTTCCTAGTCTGAACTTTCGGCGCTATCAACGCGTCTGTCTCCACTCTAGTCATTTTTATTACACTTAATTGATATTAACTTCATAAATTAGAGTTCATGTTCTATTATTGCTTCCTTAGCTCCTTCTTCTCTGAAACAAAGAGAAAAATGTTTACTGGATACTGGATAGTATTGTTTGCGTTTTTACATGTCGTATCTTAAAAAGTTTATAAGCCCTTCAACACAAGATCAGGCTAAGAATTTTTTAGTCTACGATTTTGAGATTTCTAATAAATGTTAGAATTGATTCATAAGTTCTTACAGTGGCACTATGGCAAAAAATCCGTTAAAATCCAATATCAATATCCGCTACAAGCACATAGAGAAATTTGTAACATTTTTAAGTTATTGAATGTTATTAAGTGTTTGACCACCCAATATATTCAATTATTTTTGTTAATTTACTTCACTACTTTGTTATAATAATTATTAATACAAAGTGCCTTCCAGCAAACCGAGTCAAATGCTATGCCAACTAAGCCACGGAACGCACTAGCGGATCTTACGAATTTTTCTCTGTGCCAGTTGCAGATCTTTGTTTTTTGCTTTTTAATGACTTTTTTGCCGTAGCGTTATTTGTACGATTGTTTTTGATGATGACCAAGTGACGGGACGTCGGGATCACACGATACTCGCATTTGTCTCGTTCGGGTTCTGATGCAACTTTAAACCGACCCATGGTTCAGATGTTATGAACCCCGGTGCGCTTGGTAGAAAGCGACACGCCTGTCCATAACAGTAAAGTTGCAGTACCACTCTGAGCAATCGTAAAGATCTGAGGGGCACTGCCACTGGGCCCGTCACCTTGAAATGTAAGTGGAAAAATCCAAAGTGCCTGTAATTTCACCAGAACCCTTACCCTTTAAAACCGGAACGCGGCAGACATAAGTAAGGTGGCAGTACTTCCTTAGACGAACTCTTTCACAAGGAACTCTACTGCTATTTAAAAAATCTGCTGTCTTTAGCTAAGTCGGAAGAACGGTACCCGGTTAAGCACAGAAACACTGATTCGTCTCCAGTCGGATCGAAGGAATTTTTCATCGTGTTTGTTCGGTCTTTGTACCAGTAATAACAATAACAAACTAGTGGATTATTTTTACAAAAATATAATATGAATATCAAGGTATCGTGATATTCCTTACAAATAAATAGTTAAAATTGGTTATTGTAGAAAATGTCATAAATACAAAAGCATATAAGAACTAAAGGCAACAAAACATTTGTAACGACAGTGGATTCCTGCAATTCAACATTTACTTTTGGTGAATTATTTATCATCATTACCCATTATATATATTGCAAGGTATTACGTTCTACTCCTCTAAAGGAGAGGATTTACTGCAATGGTCATTAATGCACAGGAGAATGTTTCAAAGGTCGAGAACCATCTTTTTGATTGAAGTGCAACCGTTCATCGATTCTTTCATTACAATTATTGTTTATTTGGTACAGTAAGCTATAAGGCATATTGCATAAACGGTCCAGTTTGTGGACAATAAAGGTGGCAAGTGTATCTCTTACTGCATTTTATCAAATCGTTTTTTATAAAATCGTATCGTTTGTGGCTCAAAGGTCATCCTTTTTATCAGAATTGAATGATGACATGTCATGTTTTTAAAGCCAAATTATTATTTTATCTTGTTTTTGATTAAGTCTGTAACACTCGGGTGTTAATGTCATCCTGCCTCCGTGGCCGAACGGTTACCATACTGCCACGCCGGACTGCCACGCAGAGGTCCCAGGTTCGATTCCCGGGCCGGGAGAAATATTTGTATGGCCTACATTTATTTCTCTCGTGAGTTTGGGTGTAATTTGTGGTTGTCTATGTGTGTGTGTCCATGGCACCCGCGACACAGGGTTTCCCTAGTGCGGGGCTATGTTGAGTGTGAGCGTTATTATTATTATTATTATTATTATTATTATCCTTGTGATGACTATCAGGTAGCCTCGTAGTGAGAGGCAAGATCTGACATATGAGTATAGAGTTTTAGCCCTCTTCGCCATCAGGTAACCCAACACAACATTTGACTCGCCAACCTACCATATATCTCCTTATTGAAATTGGCTTCTAATAAATAGCCACATAATGGTGAAATTCCATTAAATTGAACATAACTTTGATTGCTCCCTTTTTATTAGATGATACAACTTATACCTATGGAGGTAATGTGGCCAGCACGATGTCTAAAAGCTAAGACCAATGTATTTCTAGAAAGTGTGCTCACTTCAAACCAGGACTTTCGCGGTGGACGGCCTTGAACAGTTTTAAAAAGATTTTTTTTATTATGGTCAAAGTTAATAAAGGATTTGGGCAAAAATAACAAAAGAATACCTAAATCTGATAATTGCTCCATTTTTTCCTATATTATTATTACGAGCTAATGGTTCTTAAATAAGGTTTATAATCAGCGGCAACGAGTTAATTATAGTTTTAATTGTAAAATTAAAAGCTGCAGTTATAAGTGCAGTGCCTTTACAAACATAAAAAACTGCTTTTATAAACGCATTATCTAAACCTCTGTAGGTTAATTTTGAATGAATGAGTAAATAAAATATACTTGAGTGCTATTTTAACTTTATTGTTTTGGTAAACATTTCTCTTTTTCGCTGCATAGAATATACAACGAAAGTAATAATATTCATCTAAATATTTTAATATACTTGGTGAGATAGAATGGGAGTTTTAGGCATATTTATGAATGAAATTTAGAGAGAATTCTCACGCCTACGTATGTAGTTCGTGATATATTTCCAAAGCCTCCTTCTGGCCATATAACTCTTTTGTTCAAAGGTTATTGAACAAACTGGGCATGGTCTTACTTTTTGTATTACTTTACTTATTTATTTAAACAATACAATAAATTAATAACAGTCAAACTCCTTGTAAAAGAGTTCGTACAGGGAAGTAATGCCACTTAACTTATTTCTGCCGCCAATCAGTAATGTAAGCGTTAGTGCGTCTCGGTTTGAAGGGTTAGGGTGCTGGTGCAAAACAGGCACATGGGACTTGTCAACTTATGTTCCAGGGTTACGGGTGCAGTAGCAGTGCATCTCGGATATTTGCGATTTAAAGCTCTGAATCGCACTGCCACTGTCATGGGTAGGCGTGCCGTTTACCATCAGGCGCACGAGGTGTTCGTCCCGTCACTAAATATCATAAACAAAAATTTAAAGTCCTTGTAATTTTTGACAATAAACGTGGCAAGAGTACTTGTTGGGCAATTTTCCGAAAAATTTCAAATAGTGGAATTTTTTCCGGAAATTTTTGAAAAATTGGAAAATTATAATTTCGAAGCCTTGTATTATGTTCTACGTTTAGAAATGTCTTTTAAAAATTTATTCAGCGTGAATTACAAAATAAAATCGTAGTTGTAAAAGCAAGCTATAAAAAAGTGAGATTTAAAATGATTAGACAGCAGCGAAAAAAAAACCTCTAAATTTTCTCAACCTAACCTTAACTTTTGACAGGTGTTAATGTTAAATGTGGAAAATTACAGGAAAAATATTGGAAAAATATCCGAATAAATATTTATTTTTCTGAAAATTATGATTTTTTGGTTAGGAAATGAAACTATTTTTCCGAATTTAAATCGCGTATATTTGTTTTTTCAAACAAACCGACGTTTCGGGCCCTTTACAGGTCCCATGGTCACGGTTGACTGGTCACGGTTGTGGTTTGTTTGAAAAAACAAATATACGCGATTTAAATCCGGAAAAATAGTTTCATTTCCTATGTGTAACAATCGCGAAAACCTAAGAACTCGATTATGATTTTTTTTCGAAATGGACATTTTTCCATGACACAACACTAGGCAAGAGTCCTATATCCATAGTCATATTAAAGAAATACCTTAAAAAAACCCCGATAAATAATAAACATATAGCTTGAATAAGGCGAACATTTGACCCATATGCCAAAAACAACTTAAAATTAGAATAGTTTATACTTCTGTTAACAAAATATTTTGATACATTATGTAATATAATGTTTACTTACCGCAGTTCGGCTAGGGTATCGAAATAAATGATAACCGTTTGATAAATAATTCTGACACTACGTACAAATGTGATGTCAGTGTAGTAAATGTTGCATTTTGACGGTCTTTGACCGATAATGATGCAACTTTTACTTTACTCAAAGTGTTTCGTTGTAACAATATAAGAAATTTATATTAAAATGTTACTATATACCAGTTATATTAAAATTTTATTACAATCCAGTGACAGAAGGCCATATTGATGTTACGGGCAATTTGATTAATCAGGCATTATTAATACGTGCATAATTATGACTAATTACAGGTTTCTTACTACGGAATGAGATTCGACTTGAATTTCATCGCGCTCACTCCGAGCAGCCGTCGCGCGGTCGCCGAGTGGAGTCCGCGTTGGCGCCGATCAGCGACCGCGTGCGTCTGTCATGGCAAAATATGCTCTATTTATGTAGTTTTTACGTTTTAACTTAAATGAGCCTCCCGGGCACGCAGGCGAGATTGGCTTGAATTTGGTCTACGCGGCGTAAAAAAAGTAACTAGAATTCAGATTCGCCATTGATGTACATGACGGCGTGATAACTGGGCGGTCCCCGCGCGGCGGCCGCGCGAAATCTTTCTCTTCGTGTAACTGAGCGCTAACTGTTAAAATCTACATTATTAATACGGACTTGTCATTATATACCTGTATTAATTACACATAGTTAAAAAAAAAACACCGTAATGCTAACATTACCGTTTGGCGGCAGAAATAGGTAAGGTGGTAGTACTACCCTGGACGAACTCTTTCACAAGGAGCTCTACTGCTACTAAAATACAAGGTTAATTGAGCGTAAGTATGGAAACTAGATTCGTATATCTTACATGGCTATCATAAACAATGGTATAATATAATAGGTAGTTAGGCTTACAGCACATAATATCAGTGCTTTACGGGTTCCGTTGACTTGACCTTTCGTAAGATGTCCTCAATTGGTCGTGGTAAGTTGACCTTGGTGGACCATTATCAACTTGTCCACTTACTCTCGCATTACTACCTACTTACCAACTACAAACCTGATAAAACATTTATCAATAATACGTGCGTGTGTATAATAGTGTGTAGACATAGACACCTAGTAATCAGATTAGAATGTGCATTATTTCGCACTCGAAAACATGTACAGAATCACTATAGTGGGCAAATACGGGTCATATGGTTATGAGGGAATGTATTGCAAGATATAGAGTTCACTCACCCCTAGAGATCGTTTTGTTAACGTTACAAACTGTGCATCTGTTTGTGAATTTTTTAAAGAAATAATTGAAATAACAATGATGTGCCCGGCACCATACCTGGTTATATAAATTACCTGTATATAAATTACCTGGTTTCAAACTAAGGCATTCCTTGCACTATTTGTACTAGAGCAATAGATTTTACTTATTTGATTTATTTGGGAAATATACAGCAGCATATAATACATTTCATTTTTAACATATGTATATGAAACAAACATTGGATAAAACAGTTTCCGCTAATATTTAAAATAAGTTACGTTGGATAAACAAATTTGTACATAGCTATAACCAGGTAACAACTAACATAATAATTACCACTAAGCAATAAATTGTAAATCGCTGTTAATTATAATTTAAACTTATTGCATATCATGATGTTCAACCACCATGATATTCAATTATGTTATGGGAAATCACTTTATTAGTTTGTTGTATCGATCTAACACTAAGAATGATGATGTGATTGAGAATGAGATTCCTACGATCTATTACTAATTATATTAATAAAATAAAACTTAATGAACTGGAATGGCTTATTGTCAAATATATTAATTTCTTGATATTCATTATTAAATTGTGTACAAGCCTGTACAAGGAACCTATTTTTAGAATAATTAATGCGTCAGTAAGGTATTGCAAGTGGGCCTCGCGGACGTAGGTTGGGTCTTGAATATTTTAATGTAATTTAGCTTAATAAGTAAGTGGAATCAATGTGATTATTTTACCAGCACCCTTACTTACCCTTCAAAACTGGAACACAATAATGCTGACTACTGCTTGGTGGCAGAAATGATGAAGGTACTACTAGTACTACCCTGGATGAACTCTTTCTCAAGTAGCTATACTGATACTAAATACTACAAATAACTAACTAAAACCATACTACAAATAACCTAAATTATTGCCCAAAGAATGTGCTAATTTGTTACAGGATAGGATGTACTTTATCCGTGCATGTATAATCCCGAAAACAGGGTAAAATAAAAGTCTAAAACAAATTATTTAGGAATAAAATATCTGACTTTACATATAATTTTTATAATGGAGATATTTCTTTTTAAGTACTAGAGCGAACCTGCAAAATTTTAGTTTTCAAGTGAATCCCAATAGTAATTAAATGCACATTCATCCTAAAACGTGAAAATTGCGCTAATTTAGAAAAGTTCGTTTCCCAAATTGGTCCTACCGGAAATCGATCACAAGACTTCCTCATCCAGCAGCGTCGTGAAAAATATATTAAGTATACATATTTTCTGAAGAAGTGACAATAATAAACAAACAGAATGCCGTTTTTGATGAAGAAAAGAGAATGTAAGTCAAAAAATCGATCAGCTAAGAACAACAATGGCAATAAAGAACTTTTGTTTAATTTTTTGGAAGGTTTGTTGTCTATGAAGGTTTGTTCAATTACTGTACGTAAAAATGATAACAAGCAACTGAATAACTAGTGCACATCGGATATTACATGAATTGTTGATAAAATAAAATCCAGAAGATTTTTCAAATAGTTTTGTTAGATACTTAGCATGTGACTCAAGCGTCAATCTAAAAAGTTTTCGAACATTTCTAATAATTTCTTACATTTCTAACTTTTTATTTTAATATCCGTAAAAACCTTAACACCTAAAAAAAGACCTGTAGGTATTGTGAAACAACTCCTCAAAGAAGGTTCACAATCCATGGAGTCAAAGTGTAAAGTCACCAACCCGCATTGAGCCGGTATGGCGGACTATGGTCCAAACCCCCTCCTCAGAGGGAGACCAGTGCCCAGCAGTGGGACACACGACGTGCCATTCCTTTCCTGTACGTGTGGTGCACCCTGGGCAACAATTGGCGAGTACCTTTCAACGATTGGTAAATCCTCACGGAAAAAAATCGTAACAAAAAAGAAATCAAAATATAAAATAAATACTCGCTGTTTACTTAGTTTTATATAATACGTTAGATCATTATCATAATGATGTCATTTTCCCGTACACATTTCTACGTGTTCCGTGAAATCATTACGCAGCTAACGATACTATGTACTATTACCAAAATAGACACGTTACCACCTTAAGGTTCTATTTGCGTGCAGCAGCGGTACGTGGCGATCCCTAACAAATTTGCTTGTTCTTGTCAACCACTGCCGTTTAAAAGCTAGATCATATATATTTTTATTACAAAAAAGATTTTTTCACAAAATAAGGACTAAAAATATTTTTTTTGAGACTGGAGGACTTCAACCGGTGGGGTGCTGGTTTACGTAACCTAAAGTAAACTAAATTGATATCTCTGGGTCAATATTGAATTAGGCTATACTGGATATTTCTCTGTGTATGTTAATTTTATCGAAACATCGCAAACATAAAATTCAGATAGTGAACAAATAAGTTCCGACTGTTTTTCGTTTTTTTTTTTTGGCCCTATTTTTGAACATTATTTTTGGCATTTGTGAACCGATTTTGCTGATTAATTTTTATTTTTTGGAAAGAGGGTATCTCAGTATTGGTCCCATTTGTATTTGAAGAAACTATTACACCTCTAAGGGTGGCAAACTAAGGGATGAATCCGGTTTCGCGCACTTTCTGTTAACCGATTTCAATAAAACTTGGCAAACAGATGTCATTCCAATAAAAAAGCTGATAAGCAAACTTTAGACGTTGGTTTTTGCAATAAAAAAAGTTATAATTATCTAGATATTATTTTATTACTATTATTAAAACTTTTTTTATTATCTCCACTATTTTACAAAATCTTTTATTTTTAGCTAATAAAGTATAAAAAACTCAGTACATTGCCTGTTAAAACTTCATATGTCTGCTGTGATTACAAAATATCTGTAGATAAACTTCAAAACCTCATGTTTTATGTACAAAATACAATATTTAGGAAGGTTTTTTTCCCTTTCCTGTATAATTGTAAAAAGTAAACATAGACGGTTTTAACAGTAAGGCGACCATATATTGTTTCTACAAAATGTTGGATGATGAATTATTGTTATAAGATTGTAATGCAACATGTTTCATTTTACCAAATTTTTTTTATATTGAGAAAATAGGTAAGGTTTGAATTGTATCAAAATGGAAAATAATTTAATGCATTACGAGGCGACCGGCATTGTTGCCCTTATTTAGGGCACCATCCCAGCCAAATCTAGACATAATATTTTCTATTTTCAATAAAAACATCGCTCTCCACTAAAACTAAATCCACCTTTCACCTATAATAACATTTCAATGATAGATATAAATTAAAACCATGACTGTAATAAAAAATAAAAAAACAGTTCTTACCTAAAGTGTAAATACTAGGTGCTCATAAGTGTAACATCAGTAAAAACAATGGAAACAGAATTATTATGTTTAACATTCACAATATTTCGAAGACACACTCCCATTAATGTGTCACAGAGTTAATAGTAACGTCCGTCCACTGTGAATGCACGACCATCAATGGACATTCATATTATCGGCGTAACGCACGCAAAGCGATAATAAATTCATACGTGATAAAGAAATTAGTTTTAAATGTAATAGATTCGATTGTACACGTGTATAAGGTGCGAAAATATTATTAATAACAATGCGGTGTTTCGTAGAAAGGGCGTTAGCGACATTTCGAAAATTTTTTTCAGGGGACAAGGTTTTTGAGTTTTAACGACTGTTTTAAAATATTTACGTCCTGTCCTAATATTCAACCTTTGTCGCTTATTAACTTTCTAAATAAATTTACACTTGAAATAGCAATTTTTTAAGCTACATACTTCATTCATTGTGCAGACTTCCCTATGCAGAACGAGCAAGAAAATCTAGGAGTTACTCTTTTCGAATAAACTTAAATGCTATGGAATACACTTTGACTACAATTTGTGCGGAATCTAGAGCCATGTCGTCTTTCCATACACCTATCTTTATCCAACACGTAGTCTTGAAATTTTGTAATATGAATTTTCGATTAAAATACTTTTAAAGTTTTAAACTTAGGAAATGATAATTTTAATATCGTCTGTTAAAAGATTAAACCACATAAGTGACTTTTTAAACATAAAATCTTTAATTTAAAAATCACTATCTTTCTGCACGTGAAACTCAACAACAAAAAAAGGTATAAAGTGAATAAGAGTTTTATCCGCAGAAAAATGGTGATTTTCTTA